AGGTGGCGGAGGTGGGCTGAGGGCACTGTGGGGTCCAGAGCTCCGGGGGTGGTCGATGGGCCTGGACAGGGTGGGGCGGACAGGGCAGGTCCTTCCACAGCTGGGCAGGGTCTACCTTTACTTAAAAACTTGTTCAACATGATGTTTTGCATTGGTTGTGATTTCTTTCTTTTTTTGGTATTGGAAATGGAGAGCATAGGTTTTTTTTCTCTTTCTTTTGGCACTGGGGATTGAACTCAGGGCTCTCGACCACTGACCCACACCCCCAGCCCTATTTTGTATTTTATTTAGAGACAGGGTCTCTCTGAGTTGCTTAGCGCCTCACTTCTGCTGAGGCTGGCTTTGAACTCGCGATCCTCCGACCTCAGCCTCCCCAGCTGCTGGGATTGCAGGTGTGCGCCGCTGCCCCCAGCTGCATACCTTTACTGTATTTGTTTGTGGTGCTGAGGATCAAACCCAGTGCCTCACACAGGCGAGCAAGTGCTCTACCTCGGAGCCCAGCCCCAGCCCCACTGTGATCTCTGCAGACAGCACACCATGGTCCATCCTGCTGCTGGGTTCCCATCTTCCCCTGTGGTCTGGCTCCTCACTCGCCTCCTAGTGTGAGCCTGGTGGGAGGGGGCTGCAGATGGAGGGGGCTCCCTCCGCCTCGTCCATCCCTCCCTCTGTCTCGTGTCCGTCTGTCACAGGCCACAGGGGCTGACAGCGGGCGCTCTGCGTTCAGAAGCCGTGACTGCGGGGTCCATCGGCACCCCCTCCCAGTGGACACATTTTTACACTGAAGCCTTCGTCATAAACTCCCTGAACACGTCCCTGTACACTCTCCAAGGACTCAACCCCCACTGGTCGCCTGATCTCAGGGATGTCGGTGACAGGGACGTGACTTTGCTCACTTCGTCCAGGAGGAACCAAGGCCCTGAGGGTGGAGCGTCTCGCCAGGCGCCTGCCCCATGAGTGATCTGAGTCACGTGGCTGGGCCTTGTCCCCCAGTGCACGTCCCTGCCTTCCCCAGGGTGGAGCGAGGGCAACTGAGGAGCCCTGGTGGCTGCAGACAACCCAGGGGCCTTTCTACTGCGGTGGCTTCTTGGGACACTCTGAACAGGAGCAGTAGCGGTGGCCTCTGCCCAGGGCAGCCGGGAGGGGCTGGGCGTGGAGGGGGCGTGAGACCTGCTTGCAGAGGGGGGTCCTGGGTGGCTGGACGGCCACCCGCTGAGGTGGAGACCCCGTGGGCACCTCCACTACACCACGCAGGTGCGCATGCTGCTGGGTTAGGTTAAAACCGCGAGGGTTCTGGTTAGGTTAAAAGCAGGCAGGTTGCTGAGGAAGCGGTTCCTGTGGATGGAGCCAGGGACGCTGCGGCTCAGTCTCTAGGGGTAGCAAAGGACCCATAGTGTAATGACACTGGCCAGAGGGGAGTAGGTGGGGACCAGCCTCATGAACACCAGGATGAGCAGGAGCCGAGCCGGGACAGCCCTGAGGTTCCCAGCCAGGAAGCCGTAGGGTGACCTATTGTTCCTACAGACGTGCAGACAAGTTGGGGGGTGCGGGTGGATCAAACCCGCTGCAAATTCCCCGCCGCTCCCCCCTTGGCGGGGCGGGGCTTATCTCCTTTCTTTGCATCTGGGCGGGGCCTGCGCTTGCTCTGGCCAGTGGAACGCAGCGGAGGTGCCGTCGTGCCGGCTGGACCTCGCCCTCACCATCTGGCCCTTTTCACCGGGGCTGGGGACCCTCTCTCCTGGATCCAGGTGCTCACGTGTGACATGCTCAAGCCACACGGCGAGGCCACAGGAGGGCGCTCTGGATACAGCCGCCCTGGCTCTCAGCTACCACTGGACCCGGCCAGAGAAGGAATGAGGGTCGTTCAGAGCCACTGGATTCCGGGGTGATTTCTAGCAGCCGCAGGTGCGCGATGCATTGGGGACCGGAGGCGCCTCTGATCTTATTGGCGGAACCCAGGAGGCAGCCGGGCTGAGGATCACTCAGGTGGATCTAAGGATCTGGAGACCTTGGGGCACCATCAGCGCGCATGGCCGCAGAGTCATGGGCCGGGAGGAGCTTGCTCGTGGGCTTCAGCCGAGTTTGGATCCGGGGAGCCTTGGTTATGATGTCTATGCCCAGGAGCTGGGCGGGGTGGCGCACGCCTGTCACCCGGCCGCTTGGGAGGCTGAGCCAGCCTCAGCAATGTGGTGAGGCCCTAAGCAACTTAGTGAGACCCTGTCTCAAAATAAAAAGTAAAAGGATGGGGGTGTGGCTCGTGGTAAAGTGCCTCTGGATTCAGTCCCCAGTACAAGGAAGGGAGGGAGGGAGGGGTCCCATGAGCGGGGCTGAAGTCAGAGGCCGGAGGACCAGATGGAGTTGTCGGGGAAGACGAGGGAGGAGGATTTGGAGGTACCTGTCCTTTCTTACTCAGTGTTCTTATTTTACTCAGGTATTGTCCACCTTTTGGGGGGGTCACTGCTCTTCCAGGGCCTGTGACTGATTGATGAGGTGCTGACCCTGCCCCCACCTCCAGGAAGGGAGAAGGCGAGGAGTCATGGTGGCTGTGATGATTGGTCCAGGAGTCGTCATGTGACTCAAGCAGGTCCAATGAGATTCAGTCCTGGGACTTTAGTGGGAATAAGGCAGGGGGCGGGGCCAGGGGAGACAACTCCTTTTCAGCTGTGGGGATGGGCAGGTCTGGAGTTGCCACCAGGAGGAGCCCGAGCGTTATTATGCCACACACAGCAGAGGACAGTGAGTGTGGAGGTGGCAAGCAGCAGTGGGGGGCAGGATGACATCATAGAGCTTCTGGGTCCACACATGCCTGAAGCCTGCCGACTTGATTACGTGAGCCAACTAATTCTCTCCCGGCCACGGCAAGCACTCAAAACAGGCTCACCCAACGCCACCCCCAATCCCTCTCCCACTCTATAGAGCTCGAAAACCTCAATCGTTACTTCCCATCCTCCTTTGCAGCAAGGATGACATGTGACCTTTATGGCCAATGGTGAAGTCCCTGAGGAGGACGGGCCTTCCTGAATGACAGGAAACCCTCTCAGGGGACTGCAGGCTGGCTTTCCCACTTCCGGCCCTTCCACTTTCCTGCTGCTTGGAACGTGGAGGGGCTGGGAGGTGCCACCATCTTGCAGCTCCAAGGTGACAAGCCAGCACGAGATTCAGGACAAGTGCAGACTGTGACCGGACCAGAAGGAGCCAGGAGCCCGGTGGCATTACTGGCTGTTTGCAGTGGGGGGCTCAGCTGGCGGCTCCTGGCACCTGCAGAGGAGGGCACACGGCCGGGGCAGGGGAGGTCAGGCCAGGGCCGGGAGCCTTTGAAGAGGGAGTGGCCTCCCACCCTGCCCAGCTCTGCCCCTTTCCTTCCAGCGAGGCTGCCTGTCTCCTGCCCCCTGCAGCAGTGCTGTGGGTGCCCTTAGAGCCTGATGGCAGATCCGTGGAGATGTGGGGGTGCTGTTCTCCTGTGGTTGCTGCTGGCAGGAGGGCCTGAGAGTGTGCCACAGCTGGACTGTGTCCCAGCACCCGGGCACCTGCTCCTGGGGAACAGCAGCAATGGCAGTCTCCTAACCCCTGGGGGCGGTCATAGTGGTGAGTTTGGGGTGGCCCCTGAGTCTCTCCTCTGTGTTGCGGTGTCTGCAGCAGCAGCCCCAGGTCACTTCCGGGGTCTTCTGGGAGCCATGCCTGCGCCCACCCCAGCGACCACCCCCTGAGCACGTCGCAGGATTTTTCGAGCACCCAATCCCCTGTGTCAAATCTCCTCCTGCTGAAGGCACCTGGGGAGGTGGTTTCTAGTTCCCGCACCAGAGCGTTAGTGGTAGAGAGACCCAGAAGGACCTTAGGTTTAAGAATCTGGACGTCCTAGGTGAGGAGGGGGCACCTCCACTGAGCAGTGGTGAGGGACGGTCACATTTTGGAGCCCCAATGGAACCCTTTGGCCGTCACAGACTGAGTGGCTCAAACACAGAGAGTGGCACTGTCCTCTGCCCTGGAGGCTCGACGTTCAAGACCAAAGTGTCACAGGGTGTTTCTTCTGCGGCTTCTCTTCTTGGTCCAGATGGCCATCGGCTCCCTGTGTCCAACCTGGTTTTCCTTCTGTGTGTGGCCTCACGTCCCCTTCTCATCGCCTCTTTAGAGGGCCTGTGCCCAAGGAGTCATCAGGCTGGGAATGATGGTGGAGGGGACCCAGGGACAACGTCTGGTGGAGGTGTCTTGGGACATGAGACTTGCTGCTCAGTGGGGTGAATCCAAGGTGGTGGGTCCCTTAAGGGGCGGGGCTTGGTGGGAGGTCTACTCTTGGAAGAGATTAAGGTGGTTCTCATGGGACCCTGAGCTCCCGTAGGCTCCAGAAGAGCAAGCCTGAGCCAGGCGTGGTGGCACCTGCCTGTAATCCTAGTGACTTGGAAGGCCAAGAATCCCAAGTTCAAGGCCATCTTCAGCAACTTGGCAAGACCCTGTCTCAAAATAGAAATTAAAAAGGGGCTGGGGGGTAGCTCAATGGTAGAGTGTTCCTGGGCTCCATCCCATTACCTAAAAAAAAAAAGGCCGGCCACTGCCTGGCTGCTCTGACTTCCTGTCTGGCCCTGTGATTGTCCCTTCTTGCATGAGCTTTCACTGTGGTGCCATCCGTCATGAGGCGATGCAGCCAGGGGGCCCTCACAAGAGCTGGTGCCATGCTTTTTGGACTTTCAGCCTCCAAAACTGTGAGTCAAATAAACCTCTTTTCTTTACAAGTGCTCAGTGTCCAGTTATTTCATTATAGTAACAGAAAAGGGCTAAGGCAATGGGAGAGCCTGTGTGTGAGGGGCAGCCCCCCCCCAAAAAAAAAAAAGGCGGAGAAAATTGGAGAAAGAGCAGAGCAGGCCCCTAGAGAAGGGGAGAGAGATTAAAGATGAAAAGGGAAAAGAGACTCAGGCCAACCGCAGCCTGGCCGTTCGCAAGCGCCTGGGACTTGCCGGGCTCCTTCTGGGTGTCCCACGTCATCTCAGCTCCTTGGGGAGGTGGCGTGGTCAGCGCAGGTGAGAGGTGAAGCCGCTTGTTGTGGCCCCACAGCCGGTGGGAGGAGGCGGCGGATGTGAACCCAGCCTGCTCGGCCCTGAGTGGGAGAGGAAGGAAGCTGGAGGCTCCTGGGAAGGGTTTGGACGGAGGGAGCCCGTCTGCTCTGCAGGAGGGAACCGGTGGGCGGGGTGGGAGAGCGCCCCGTGGGGGCCAGCGAGGGCCTTGCAGAGGCGGAAGGGGGAGGTGGCCGCGGTACTTCCTCCAGCCACGTGGGCAGGCAGCCCGGGTGCGCGGGGAGTCTGCAGGTCTGGATTCCAGGGCAGGGACCAGTCAGCCTGTGGTTGGGCAGGCAAAGAAGTAAGCAGGAAGGGTGCGCTGGGTGACTGGTGCAGGAAGGGTGACCTGGGCATGGGCTCCTGGCTGGGGGTGGAGAGGAAGGGCCGGGAAGGGTGGACCTGGGTGTGTGGCCAATAAACTGGGTAAGGTGGGGGGCTGAGGGCAGGGCTGGGAAGTCTGGAGGAGACATGGATATACTTCCAGACGTTTCAAACTCTGGGCAACAGGTGGGCAGCAGGAAGCATCCTGCCTCCTGCCATCGCAGGGCCTCAGGTCTGGTATGTGGGGGCTGGTTGTGTTAGGAAGGCCCTGGACAGCCAGCTCAAGGCACAGAAAGAGGCAGCCTGCGGGAGGCCACAGGGCCAGTATCTTCAGCCCTCCAGCCTCTCAGGCTGCCATTCCTTCCCTCGGTGACTGTATTTAGTGAGGTTTGTGTAACTATAACAAAATACCTGAGGCAATCAATTTATGAAAAGAAAAGGTTTGGTTTGGCTTCCAGTTCTGCAGATTCCAGTCCTGGAGATTCCAGTCCAAGATCAGGTGGTTTCATTACTTTGGGGCTTTGATGAGGGCTGGGGTCCCACCATCCCTTTTAATCCACATCTAAAACCTCCCACAAAGCCTCACTTCTCAAGGGCCCACCACCTCCCAATCAGCCAGAGCAGTTCTGAGCAGCACGAGCCAAGATGAAGGCCTCAGCCTACCTGACTTCCACACCCTGCAGAGCCACTGTCACGGAAGCATGGCCTTAAAACCCCACCCAAGGGCCAACAGAGCACAGCGGGGGCCTGGGAGTAAGTCCGTGCATTTGCAGTTAATTGGTTTTCAACAAAGTTGCCAACAACACAGGACAGGGTCTCTTCAGTGATTGGGGAGCTGGTCTCCACATGCAGGTGACACGGGAACTCACCTCTGGTGATGCACCACAATGGGCTCCAGTGGATGACAGACTTAAATGTGGAAAACCGCTGGAAGAAAACAGGAGGAAGGCTTGCGGCCTTGGTCTGAGCAGGCAAAGGGAAGAGCCGACAGAGAGGCCACCTGTGGAACAGGAGAGGGTTAATATCCACATATACAAGCCTCACAGTCCAGCCGCAGAGGAGAAAGACTGAATAGACAGGCCGCCGCGGGGGCGCCCGCCTGTCATCCCAGGGGCTCAGGAGGCTGAGGCAGGAGGATCTCGAGTTCAAAGCCAGCCTCAGCAACAGTCTCTAAGCAACTCAAGGAGACCCTGTCTCTAAATAAAATACAAAAAGGGGCTGGGGACACGGCTCAGTGGTTGAGCACAATGGGAGAGCCCTTCACCTATTAGAATGGCGATTACTAAATTGATACAATGTAACAAATGGGGTGAAGGATGTGGAGGAAAGGGGAGCCTTGGGCACTGTTGGTGGGAGTGTGAACTGGTACAGCTGTCACAGGAAATAGTAGGGAGGTTCCTCAAATTGAAAATAGAATTCCCATGTGATGCAGCAATTCCACACCTGGGTTGTATCCTAAAGAAAATGACATCAGTATGTCAGAGAGACATCTGCCTCCTGTGGTCACAGCTGCACTGTCCACCGTGGCCAAGATGTGGCAGTAACCTAAGTGGCCATCCACTGAAGACTGAAGGAAGAGAATGTGGTCCATAGTGCACAGTGGAATACTATTCAGCCTTAAAAAAAGAAAGACATCTGTCCTTTGCAACATGTGGATCAACCTGGAGGACATTGGGTCAAGTGAAATAAGCCAGGATGAGAACCCCGTGATTGTACCTGTGGAATCTAGAGAAGAAAAGAGTTGAACTCACAGGAAAAAAGTAGAAGGTGGCTTCCAGGGGCTGAGTGGGGGAGGGAGGGGAAATAGTGGCCCAGGATGGTACCAAGTCCCTTAGACAGGCTGGAGGAGGGCTGGGGATATATTATACATATGGCAACTATGTTTCTATAAATGTGTATTTGAAAATTGCTAAGGGATTAGATCATCAAAGAACTAAATATGAGGTGACTGGTATGTTAATGAGCTTGAATTTTTCACCTCACTGTGTGTACATATAGCAAAACTTCATAGTGTCCTCTGAAACTAGATACTATTTTAATTTGTCAGTACCTTAATAGAGCTGGGGTAAAATAAATCCCAAATATTATGCCATTTCAATCGGTCAATCCATCAACCAGTCAACACTGTATTAGTCCGTTCAGGCTGCTATGACAAAATGGAAAAAACAGAAATTCACTTCTCGCTGTTCTGGGGGCTGGAAGTCCAAGATCAGGGTGTTGGCGAGTCTGTCTGCGAGGGATGGCTCTCTTCTGTCAGTGTACCCTGTGGTGCTCTTTATACCAGCACCAATTCTGTTCTGAGGGCTCCATTCACATCCTGGTGACCTGATCACTTCCCAAAGCCCCTCCTCCAAATACCGTCCCCTTGGGGGCCAGGTTTCAAGGTGAATTTTTGGAACATAAACATTCAGTTCATAGCAAATGCTCTGCTACCTCACAGGCTTCTCAACCCCATGTCCAGGATGGAACCTCGATTCCAAGACCCCCCTCCATCACCGTCACCGGCTCCTGGTTAAGTGACACCTGCATTTGTCAAGTTGTCAAGAATGAGCCTGGAATCGTTCTAGATCCATCAGCAAATCGTTTAGACGCTACGAAATATACACCTTCCGCGGTCAGCTCGGCTCGGGACCCTGCAGCGGAGCCACCTGGTCGATCCTCGCACGGCCGCCAGAGGGCGCGTCCGGGTCCGGGCCACGCGGGTTCTTGGCTCACGGCCCGGGCCGCGCTCCGCCTCCGGCAGGTCACCCCGGCCCGCCCGGAGGGGACCCTGGAGACCCCCAGCTCTTCCCCCCTCAGGGCCTTTGTCCTTGGCGGTGCGGCCGCTCGCAGCGCGGTCCCTTTGCAGAGCTGGAGCTCGGGGTGGTCTCCGTCCGGTCTCCCCTCCGCCGCCAGCCCGTCTCAGCTTCCTCTGCTGCTTCCTTCACGACGCCTGTCCCCGCCGGGGACACTGTTTGCCGCTGTCCTGTTTCTTGTCTGTCGCCAGCTGCAATGAGAGCTCCGCGAGAAGGGACTTCCTTCTCTCCTTACCGCGTCGCCGCAAGGGGAGGTGCCCGTGACCAGCTCGCTCCCTCCTCCCAGGCCCGGAGGAAGGTGTCACCCTCCCCTCCGGAGGTCCAGCCCCCGACCCCAACACGTGGACAGGGCAGGAGGAGAAAGGCAGAGCCGGGGGTCCAATGGCCTGGGACGTCGGGGAGGGGGTCGTTTGGGAGACCGGACGAGGCCTGGCTCAGCTGTCGGAGGAGACGGGGCGCCGGTGCCGGGGCGGAGCCCACCCCAGTCTCCCCAGGCGGCCCAGACCCGCAAAGGCCGCGGTTTCTGGGCGACATCACGGTTGACAGGAGGCTGGGGCTCCGGGCTGTGCCTCTTGCTTCCTCACGGGGGCCGGGCAGGGCTTAGGGGTGCGGGGGGGCGGGGCCCACCGTGGGGGAGCGAAGGCAGGAAGCGGGCGGGCAGGAGAGCGGCTGGGGGCACACTGGCAGGTGACAGGGCCAGGTGAGCGCGGCTCGGAAGAACTTCCGGGGGCGTGGCCAGGGGGTGGCGCCGGGAAGCTCGAGGTGGGACCCGGAGCTGGGAACTCCTGGGGGGACCTCCGCCCTAAACCACGACAGTGCAGAGGGGGCTTGCCGAGGGCCAGGGGTCAGCGGAGCTCAGCCCGCATCCCCGCGCCCGGCGCCTACCTGGAAGGGAGGCGGGCTCCCAGCTGAGCAGGAGGAGGAGGAGGACGGAGGAGGAGGGAGGGGGAGGAGGAGGAGGAGGGAGGAGGAGGGAGGGGGAGGAGGAGGAGGACGAGAGGAGGAGGAGGGGGGGGGGGGAGGGGGAGGGGGGAGGAGGAGGGCGGGAGGAGGAGGGGAGGAGGAGGAGGACGGCGGGAGGAGGTCGCAGGGTCAAGAGCTACTTAGGAGAGAGAAGCCCCAGCGCCCTGAGGCTGCCTGGATGTTGGGTCCCCAAGGAGGAAAAGAGCCGGGAGTCCAGCCCTGCCCAGAGCTCCCCGCAACACGCCCGCACACGGTCCCGGGCAGCCAGCGGGGCTTGTCGTGGGTGGGGAGGACACACGTGACGCTGGACCTGCCCCGGTGGAGGAATGGGACCGTGAGGGAGCGCCAGGCCCGTAGGTGTGCGAAGCCGACCCAGAGAAGAAGCCAGGGAAGGTCTCAGAAATACACCTTCCCAGGGCAGAAGCCCGTCTGCGACGCCTGGTGACCCCAGCAGCCACAGAGAAGGTGCATTCGCTGAGCTGCAGCCCGGGCCTGAGCCCCCCTCGGCGCTGTCAAAATGCCAGTGGGGGGGCGGGGGGCTGTGGCTGTTGACAGAAGAAGTGGCTCATTTCCCCAGTATGGAAATCAGTGCGAAAGAGCAGCCCGGCTGAGGAGGAGAGGGGCAAAGGTGTGAAAAGGTCCTCCAGGGAAAGGGAAGCACGCTCTTAATCCTCGAGAGACGCTGCCTCCCGTGGAAAGAAATGCAAATGAAAAGACGACCCAGTAGTTTTGCCGATTGCAGAGTCAAAAATAGTGCTCCTCCGAAGCTGTTGGTGGGAATGGGGGAGAGGAGTTTCCTAACCCGCGGTGGGAGGACAGACGGCGGTGGGAGGACAGACGGCGCGGCTCCCCCAGGGCCGTTAGCCACACACCCGCCCCCAGCAGCACCGGGCGCATGCGCACTGCTAAGCGCAGCTTAGGCTGGGGGTCGGGCGGCCTCTCTGCCTTCAATGGGAAGCCCCCCGCCGCGCCGTGGGCCACTGTTCGTAGCTCCTGATTCAAGAATAGGGAACAAACTCCAAGGCCCGAGCTAACAACGGGGGCAGAACACATTGGGGTGAGAGGAAGAGAATAAAGAATACAGATATATATTTTCCTTCCGCTGCTGGAAGAGCCCTGGAGGGACAGAACAGGGGGGTAGTGGAGGTGGCGGGAGAGACTGGGAGGGGCTGGGGGCAGACTTGTGATCAGTGTCTTTGTTCCTTTGCATGGAAACCTGCGACCCTACTATCATTTGAGTGTATTGTGGAAATTCTAAAATGTTACCAAAAAAACTTTTAGAAAGTATTTAAAGCGGGCTGTAGGTCCCACTTAGGGGACTGGGCTGGCTGTGTCTACTGGGCTGGGAGAGGGGGAGATGTTGAGTGTGAGGTGTGGGAGCCACCAGAATGGGGTGGCCTTGGAGGACTGAAGGCAAAAGGCGGGCCCTGGGTCTTCAGCTGCAGGTGGAGGAAGAGGACGGAGGGGAGGAGGGGGGAGGAGGGGAGGAGGGGAGGAGGGGAGGAAGGGGGGAGGGGGGAGAAAGGGAGGAGGAGGGGAGAGGAGGAGGGGAGGAGGGGAAGAGGAGAGGAGGAGGGGAGAGGAAGGGAGGAGAGAGGGGGGAGGAGGGGAGGAGGGGGGGACACCTGCTGGGACAGGAGGATCTTCCTGTACTCCTCACCTGGCCAGAGGGTGCCAGTGGAGCTCCCAGCACTGGCAGAGAGGGCTCCTGGGACCTGGGGACAAGAGGAGCCTGGCTGGGCCTGGTGACTGGGCATGTTGGGGCACAGCCGTGGCCTTGGAGACAGAATGCTGGTTTTCTAGATAGGAAAGTCCCTGATGAATAGAGGCCCACATTCTTCATGGGGATCTCCTGGGACAGAGTCCCCTCTCTGAGCCCTGAATTTGCCCCAGCAGAGCCTCTTGGGGGAGTGGGAGGTCAGCTCCCCATGGGAGGAGGGAGGAGGTGAGTGGCACTGAAGTGGGGTCTGAGGCAGTTGGCCCAGGGAGCAGGTTGGGGGACAGGGACGTCCCCTGGCCAGTCACACTGGAGAACTCTGAGGCTGGGACCTGACTCTGCGGCCCTCTGGGCCACACAACTGTTCAAGGACTTCCTTTTCCCAGAAATGTTTTAAGTGCCAGCTCCCTGTTGGACCTTGAGATACGGTAAAGACCTAACAGGAGTTGGCTGCCATTTTAATGAAAGGTTAAAGTCTTCAGAGAGATGGAATGACGTTCAAGGCCGGTGCATCTGATGATCCCGCTGAAAGGTTTATAAAGCAAAAATCAAAACGTGGTAGAATGACCAGGTGCATAGAGTCCCATCATGTCCGCAGATTCAACACGCCGTTCTCCGGAGCTGATAGATGGAGCAAGGTGAAAGCATATTTGTAATAATGTAAAAGTCGTGAAGAGCAAGTTCACATCTCTGATGTGTTAGCCATATATGGAACACGGAATTCATGCCCATTTATGATAAAACAAAAACAACAATAACCCAAAACTCATGCTTGTCAGGAAGCAAGTCACAACACACATCCAAGGGCGCTGTGCACAACTCCAGTAAATAGCATCCCTTAGACCGCCTGTATTCCTAGAGGCTCGGGAGGCTGAGGCAGTTGAAGTTCAAGTTCAAAACCAGCCTTAGCCATTTAGCGAGGCCCTAAGTAACTCAGTGAGACCCTGCCTCTAAGTTAAATATAACAAAAGGACTGGGGATGTGGCTCAGTGGTTAAGCACCCCTGGGTTCACTTTCTGGTAAAAAAAAAAAAAATAGAAGCTGTTTCTTCAAAATCAGAAATAAGAGGAGGACTCCGGTCAACACCGATTCCATTCAGCTCTGTAACAAAGAATTCAGGTGAGCCAAGGAGTTAGATTTATAAATATTGGGAAGGAAGGGGAAAAAACCAACATTTTCCACAAATGATAAAAACGCCTACATGGCAGTCTTGGATTTACAATGTTAGTGGCAAAATCTTTGGGTAAATTATAAGAGGGCCGGGGGTGGAGGGTAGTGCAGAGGTAGGGCCCCAGGCCCAGCAATCACGAGGCCCTGGTGTGATCTCCAGCACAGGGGTTGGGGGGGTAGGGTGGGATTTTTAAAGATCTGATTAGGTTTTCATGAGAATTTCCATCCAGATTGCCATGTAAGTCCAACATGTAAAATGTGACATTTTCCTTACAGAGGGAACAAGCAGAAAATCATTTTTTTTTTTTAAAAAAAGTATTAGTGGGCTGGGGATGTGGCTCAAGCGGTAGCGTGCTTGCCTGGCATGAGTGCGGCCCGGGTTCGATCCTCAGCACCACATACAAAACAAAGATGTTGTGTCCGCCAATAATTAAATAAATAAATAAATGTTAAAAAAAAAAAAAAGAAGAACCTTTAAAAAAAAAAAAAAAGTATTAGTTATGGGCTGGGGTTGTGGCTCAGTGGTAGAGCACTTGCCTAGCATTACGTGAGGCCCTGGGTTCAATCCTCAGCACCACATAAAAATAATAATAAACAAAATAAAGATATTGTGTCCATCTACATCAAAAAAAATTTTTAAAAGAATTAGTTATAATGACACTGGGAATAATAAGATGTCAAGAAATAAATCTTTTGAAAAATGTGCGTGAACTTTCTGGGGAAAATTAGGAAAGTCTATTGAAAGACATAAGGAGAATTTCAGCATGGTCCCGGGCAGGAAGGTCCAGTGCTCCAAAGATGTCGATTCTCCCCGAATTCTGCTACAAATCAACTACCATTTTGATCTGAATCCTGACACCGATTCTTGGAACTTTGATGCGCTTATTCTGAAATTTCCATGGACGGCAAAGTGATGAGCGAAGACTAGAACGATTTTGGAAAAGGCCAAGAGAGGCTGATTTTCCCTGCTGGATTTTGTAAAGACTGGATATAGCACCGGGGTCCCTGAGGCTGCTGGGTGGACAGTAGACCCACAGACCCAGCGGCTCAGAGCCAATCCACACCCCACATTCCTGCAAAGACGGGGAGTGCCCCTGTCCATAGGTGGTACTGGAACCACTGGTCACGGGGACCGTTAAACTAAACCCACATCTCTCAAAAACTCAAACCCATCCCTGTCTCCCCGCAAATCCACCCCAAGTGTAAGACCTCCCTATGCAAAGCAAAACTGTAAGACCTTTAGAGGAAAGTACAGGACATCTTGATGACATTGGCTTGGAAGTCCTAAGCAAGACTTGCTTGAAAAGCATCCGTCAGTAGGGAGAAAATTTGCATTTGATACCAAGTTACACCCCAAAGTAGCTTCAAGGCCAAGTGTGGCCAAGGGGCTCCTAGAGCATGAGGTAGGACTGTCTGTTGAAGTGAGAGACGCAAGTGCCCTTCGGCTCTGCCATCCTCTCCCTAGAAACCACTCACACCAGCCCCAGGAGCCCACAGACGTTCACGGAACGGTTTATGGCTCAGACATCAAAAGTCATTAAGAACTCTTTTTAAAAAATATTTATTTTTTAGTTGGACACGGTATTTATTTTAGTTTTATATGGTCCTGAGGATGGAACCCAGGGCCTTGCATGTGCTAGGCGAGTGCTCTACCGCTGAGCCACAACCCCAGCCCTCATTAAGA